TATGCTGTGTCATTATTTTTAATAATTTTTTAAATAAACTGTCTCTTTAATTTATTACGTTCCTTCTTCTACCATCGTGACACTAATATAGGCAAAACTTTTAACCTCAGTTAAAAAGAGCTTTTCATGTCTAATTAACTAGAAAAGTACATTTTAATTTTAAGGACTAAATAAAAAAAATTCTATATTATACAAGTTTGTACTAATTAGAGTGCCATATATATAGTTCACCTATATGAAAACGAAAAACAATGCAATTAAATATTAAAATTTAATTTAATGTACAAGGTCCTAATATATTTCGCTATACATAAATTAACAATTCGTCATTAAAATTTAAGTTAATGAAATTTGAAAAATGATGCTAAAATTTGATTATACATCAAAATAACTATGACAATTATTTTAACTTGTGCACCCTGACATAATGTAATTTTCAAGACAAGCGTTCCCTTTTATTTTAAATTTCACAAGAAATTTGTCGCATTCATTATCTAAAACCGAAACCCCCGCAATTGCCACAGTCGCATTAATCAAATATAAATATGACGATTTGGGCCGTCGGGCTATGCTTGATTGTACATTTGGAGAAGGATAAACAAGGACCTTGTAAAGGATTAATACAGAACAAGGGTATATTTACAACTGACATTTCAAAATTTGTAACTTAAATTTCCATGTTTACAAGTTGAAATTACTCATTTTCCATTAAGCTTTTTATAAAATATTTTAATTTTAAAAATCCAGTCTTTTCGTTTTAGCTGCGAAACCTTCCTTAACTTAAGGCCTGTTGCATATAACCTTTCCATCTTTAAAAGTTTAAATCACACACCCTCATCTTATAGTTAATTTAATGAAATTAATATCACATCAAACTAATTCTGGTTCAAAGCTATGCTGCTGATTTAGCGGTACTTTTAACAATCAATGTGCTGATGTGGCGTGATTATGTTAAAATTAACTGTCATTCCAACGGTAGAGGTTTCATGGTCAACATCTACAAAATGAGGGTGTGGAATTTAAACTTCAAAAAATGAGAGAAGTTATGTGTAATTGACACTATGTTGAGCGAGTTATATGCACCTTGGCCTTAATTTTTATTTAAAATTTTAAATTGATTTTTTTCATTTGAAATTAAAAGTAATGCTCATAATTTGAGTACTTAAAATTTTAGAAAATGCTCTTTTGTTCTTAGTATAATTTTTCAAGATAATATATTTTGGATGAATGCAATTATATTTTTGTTGATAAATTAAAATTATTTAGTTCAACCTCTTTTTAATTCTCAATAACTTCCTTGAAATTAGGCCAAACCTGACTTGATGCGGAGATTGGTTTCTGTACTCATCATAATGATGAGCATCGTTATTGTGTTGAAATCTAAACTATTTAAATTTTGATATAAATAATTCAAATTTAAAGTACTATTATATAATTTTATTTTATATTTATTATAATAAATATAAAAATCTTATAAATCAATTATAAATATTTATTACAATAAAGTACACTTGGATAATCAATGTATGTCAATTATAGAACTCTTAATATTAAATTGAGCCCTCCAAATTAAATATAGATCATATTAAAAATATTAAAATTATTTTATAAATTTTTATTTTAATAAATATAAAATGTAATATTACTTTAAATTTGAACCATTTAAATTAATTTCTGAATAATTTAAATCCCAGTGTGATGTTGAGCACCATCAATCCCACCTGAGGCCTGTGTTAATGGCCAAATCAGTCAAGCCATATGTTCGTGCACTCCTAATAACTTTTTTCTTTAAATATGAATTTTTAAACCACATGCAAACCAGTCCAAACAGTATAAAAGACATATATCGATATAATTTCAATAAAAATCACATGAAACTTGTGTAGTATACTTTAAGAATTGATTATAACATGATTTTTTTTTTTTGGGTTCAGGGATAGATAATTATATAAATTTCCCAAAAATCACAATCATCCGTACATGTATCAATTTCCAAAAAAAAAAATAATAATGTGTTACTCGTGTGGTATGTATATATGTACATCTATACAATAGAACAAGGTGAGGGTTAGGTGGGGTCCAATGCCCCTACGTGTACGTGGGCTTAAATCCAAAAGAAGAAGGAAAAGGCTGAAATGTCAAAAGAGAGTGCATTAAATTTGTCCCCTTCCACAAGTAGGATGAGATACATTATATATAGGCTTAGGCACTTAGCCTTCAGTACACACTCCACTTACATAATAGTGTTATAATATCAACAGCACCACTCATCCAAGCTAAAGCCTACGCTCAGTACTCCACGTGAACTCTTCCAGCTAACTCTTGCTCCTCCACCAACCATACCTGCTCATTAATGGCCATACTTGAACAAGACAAGCTTTATTTGAAACCACACATAATATAATATGAGTACTGTAATGAAGTTTGATTATTGAGGGACCTGTAAATGTAATGTTGAAGATGAGTGTGTGGTGGGGGTGACGCTGACGATTTGTCTGTTTGCGAGGAAATGTGGAAGCTTCCTGTGGAGCATTTCTGCAGAAGTTAATGTTTGATGGCATGCTTGATGCTTCAAATAGTAAGGCTGGTGTTGTTGGAATTGGTGTGCACATCACCATGGGGACTTGTTCAATTTTCAAATATCCTGTGTTTGGTTTGGTAATTTGTCAGGAGTGTTTGAGATTTGATCAATTTGGATGTCCAAATGAAGTGTGTATTTAATTTTTAATTTATATTCAGCAAGATTTTATTTGAAAGATTTAATGATTTATTAAATTTAATAAAAATATATTTTAAATATACTTTTGACTTTATCTAAATAGACCTGAAATTCGTATACTCATGTTGATGCGAAGAGAAGTTTTGCATTAATAGAATTAAGCTAAATAAATATTCATTTTAATCTAAAATATAAGCAATTTTTAACAATCACATGTACACCAATAAAATTTTTATGCTCATGAAAAATATATTGTTTTTTTTCCTCTTAGTTTTAATTTATGATGAGTAAAAATAATGTTGCAAATTTGCCTATATAAAAATCCAGGTAAATAAATATAAGAAGTAAAGTGATTTTTTTTTACAAATAACAAGTTGCTTGTATTTTGGATTAATATTACTTGATATAAAATACTTATATTTTAGACTGAAGTGAGTAATATATAAATAAAATGAAAGGATCAGTAAAAAGTGTGAATTTATTTGTGTTTTCTTCACAATTAATATTATATATATATATATATATATAATCCATCAAATATAGTTTTTGATCACTATAACTCATTACTGTTGGGTTCAAGATATATGTCTTTCACATTAATCGGTATCTCCCTTCCTTTTTTTGACCCCTCTTTTATTCTATGTACCCTTTCAAAAGGGGATATCATAACATTGCCTCTCACCTGTCAAATATCATATAGGGACCGATTCTCTCGTGCTCAATCAACCACGACTTCAATTTCATCAAATCATCTATCATGTGGTTTTTGTAAGATTGACAAAATTATAGAGATCTCATGCCATGCTCCCATTGCATGAATTTTTTGATACTTAGCTTATAGGTTGTAGCAATCTTTTATATATTACTCCGACATATGCTCGAAGCTTCAGACTTGGGGGGGTTATATATTTGTATGGTTTTCTTCATAGCCTTTGTATAATTAGGGGGGAAAAACAATCTCAACCGCTTTTACCTGTCTTGTACCAAGTAACTTTTAACTACCCTAGAATTCTGTCGTGTGCCAACGATAATGAGCATTATGCAAAGAAACTTGCTTAATATTGGTTCATACTTTTGTTCACTTCAAAAATAGAAAAAACATGTTAATTTATAATTGTAACACAAACATTCATATTTATATATAAACTACATGACTTTTTTTCTTTACGCTATATATGCATGATTCATCAACAAATCCATACACATACATCATGCTTTAGCTAAAAGAATTCATAGAAAAAAGAGCATCCAACTAAATTTCATTCGAAAGGAGCGGTTAGTCAACAAAGCTACATCTACTGAGGAGTGTCTCAGCTTTTAGCATACCTAAGCCTCTTTGAATCTGTTCGAAACTTTGACGATTTATATGTTTGTACACACGTAATGGATTCAGCCTCATAAATGCTTATCAACTACTCGAAGTTCTAATCATCATGATATCATACGGTACAGTGGGGCGAGTGTCTTGATGAACTCCAATAGTACTATTAGAGGAATACAAAGTAGCCGTTGGTGTTATAATAACAAAAATAATTAACCATTAACCATTAACCATTACCTTTTCCAATTATATGTTGTTTTCAATTATGCTGTTATCTTCGCTGATTTAAATTATTTCATGCACTTCTCACCTATCGAGGACATTGTGAAGATTTTAAAAGAAATTATATATATATATATATATATATATAGTACGCTAGTTATTATTCTTGTTAGTATCTACGCTAAAAATAATATTTGAACAACAGATAAAAACAATGGTCGCAGTGTTTGAAAACTCTAAAAGCACTTAAATATCAATATAACCTTTAAAATTCCTTTTAACCTGAAACAGAATAGTAACCAATAATAATTTTTTTATAAAGTCAAAATTATTAAGATTATCGTATGAATAGAAGAAACCCATTGCTACATCAGTCATAAATATACTAATTATTAATATTGACTTCCTAATGAGGATGACGTGCAAGCAATTTTTTCTCGTTTTGAGCGCATTTAGAGAGTTTACTACTTAGTCAGACAAATAATGGAATGCTTGCCCAGAAATCCACCAAAAATATATTTCAGATGTGACTTTAGGGATTTCGAGTTAGACCCAACTCAAACTTTCCGTCATTGAGACAAGTGATCGATCTTATTCTTGGACAATAAATAATCCAAACTATAAAAGGGTCTAATCCCTTCAATCGGCTTTATTTTTTAAGTAAATAAACCGATGTAAAGGGTAACTTCTGCTTAACAACATGAAATTATAAACAAGCTCAATCGATAAATACATAAATTATTGCAGTGTTAACCTAACCATTTGAACTGAACTTCCATATGAATTTCCCACAATAATAACATGCGTTTAATTTGAACAGGTCAGAGAATCATGCGAAACATCTCCGAAGAAGGGCATAAACATAAGTTGTCGTAAACCATTCAATACTTCCCCGTAGTTCCGAGACTGAATCTTAAACACGCAGTACGATAAAAACCAAGACTAAACTACCCTAATCCAATCCTAAGGTCAACAGAAAGTTTAAAACACATCTAAACATAAACACATATGTAATCCTAGAAGATCAAACTCGGTATTAATTCGACGAGGGCAGCCTTAGAATCCCCACACGCAATCGAGCTCGGAGCCGCCCAAACCGGTCATGCCGGAGCCACCATCCGCTACTCTTTGCTCGTCAACCGGTGTAGCCCAGTTCATGTCAACGGGAACGCCTTGGAAGGGCTGCTGCGGCAGCGGCGGGATAAAGAAGGGAAGCTGAAGGTTATCTTGTAGTTGCAGCGACCTCAGGGTCGGGAAGGAAGAAACGCCTCCGTTTCTAAAAAAACGGGCAACGGGATCCACCGTAACAGACGGCGGCGCAGCAGGCAAGTCGAAGTTGTAGTTGTTGCTGGCGGTGGCAGAGATTGTGGAGAAACAGGACACGTGCTCTCTTGAGGCATTCAAGCTGTCGTAGGTATTAGAGCAACTGTCACGATCGTTGACGGCGGCCGCCGAGTAGGGAGAAGAATCAAGCAGAGGAGGAAGGTAGACGGAGGAGGGAGAACTGGGCTCAGCCGGGTAGAGACTCAAGTTAGGAGAAGAGTTCATGATGTTTCTGGTCTTCTTTGAGCCACTGCAAGAGGAGGATATGGTGGCGGAGCCGCCGTTGCCGGAGCCACTCTTCTGGAACACTCGGGAAATGACCCACTCGTCCTTCATGACAAAACACAGAACCATTGTAAGACATTGACAAAAAGAATTTAGGAGCCAGAGAAAATAAACTACTTCAGTTTGCTAAAATTAGCACACGTGAGTGGTGAACGCCTGCTAATACTACATGACCAATCAGAAAATAACTCAGGACATTTTTCAGTATATACAGCTTTCGAGTGTACCAAATATAATAAATAACTCAACAAAGGTGTAGGTTTATCCATAAAACAAGCAAACGCAAGGCGTGGATAGAATTAGAAACTCTACAGTAAATCTGCAAGTAAAATCTGAGTTTCAAAGATCTTCTAGTTTTTAGCAGCAGAGTCAGCATTACAATAAATGAAGCTACAAAAGTTTAAAATGATGCAGCAGCATGAAACAGTGGTTAATAGGAAGACCCTTCGGTTAATTATTATTTATAAATATAAATGGCGTGGAAGAAAATACAATTCGTGGTACCGTTATGAGGCCGAAAGTACGAAGCCCTAGCTAGCAGAAGACTGAACAAAAACAAACTGAAAAAGCGAAGATCTTCTAAACATATTGAGAAGTTTCACACAGAAAGCCACATTGCACTTGGCCAGTTAAAGTTTACAACACTGTCAAACGATCAGCATCAGCAAGTACCGGAAGAAATATTCTGGAAAATGAAGATGATGTACCTTAGAGGAGCGAGAGAGACAATGGTAGGCAAATTTGCCTTCAAGGCGATACTCGTGCATAACCCAATTGCTCTTCTCGCCTTTAGGAGCCCTACCTCTGTAGAACACAAGCGTCTTCTTCATCCCCACCAGACAGCAAGTTTTTGAGCCATAGATTTCTCTGTCTTTCCCGGTGGCCTTCCAGTATCCCGCCTCTGTAGCCCTATTAGTTCTTAGCCCAGTTGGATACTTCCTATCTCTCAGGCTGAAGAAGTACCACTCTTTCTCTCCCATCTTCGCTTTCTCTGCCAAACAAAAAATGAGTTAGCTTAGCTCATTAAGATATTGCTCGCATCCTATAAAGCTAGAAAAGAAAACAAGTTCAAAAACTTGTCTTACCTGGAAGCTCCCATGGCTCGCATTTGTTAAGGTCAACTTCAGCGATAGCTCTACCAGTGAAGCTATTATCAAGGACCTTCTTGAGGAGGTAGTACGTGATGAGTTCTTCATCTGTAGGGTGGAAACGAAAGCCAGGAGGCAAATGAGAATCATTGTTGTCAGAAGGGTAATAGCTCTCCATTGAAGAGGACGCAATTACAGGGGCTGGTGGCTGGAGATAGAGGAGTAAAAAAGAAACTCTACGATCTTTCAAGGCTTGTTCTGAGAGAAAGCGAGAGGCTGAGAAATCACTCATGGGAGTGTGGTGGTTTATATAATATGATGAATCAGACGAAAGGAAGAGGAAAAGAGGAAAATAAGGATAGTAAATGGTTGTAAAATCTCTGTATTTTCTGAGCTTCTGTGCTATTCTGATCTCTCTCTCATTAGTCTGCCATGGTCCTTGTCATAGTCCAGATGGCTAGAGAGAGAAAGAGGAAAGTGATGTGTAGGGTAGGGGGGAGGAGGGGAGTGGGGCTCTTCTGGCTTTGAGTATGCGTGCGTGCGTGAGGAAGTGTGCGGGTATTCCTCTGTCAGCGAAGAAAATGAAAGGCAGGAACAGAAAGTAGATTTATTTTACGAGAAAACAAGAGGCCCTTCACTGAGAGAGTAAGAAATGAGGAAGGAATATATATATAACCCAGATAGATTATGTTTGAAAATTTGGATATGAATATTATGTTCATTCATACTTTGTGAGATTTTTTTACCTAAATACTATAGAAGAAGTGCCCGTTTGGATACACCTTTAATCGATTTTATTCTCAAAAAAATCGATTATTTAATTTATTAGCCAAAAACCTGAAAAAGTAAAAAATTGATTTCAACTCTTAAAATCGATTTTTTTCAAAAGCTAATATTTTAAGCTTTTCCAAAAACGCTGATAAAAAAATACTGGAGAAATTACATAAAAAGGTCCAAAAAAATTATAAAAAAGCACAAAATTTTATAAAAAAAAATCAAACTCCCTTCTCTTCTCTTTTTTTTTCTCAGTAAAATTGAAATTTTAAATCTTTAAAAAAGTTGCTAACATATATTAAGTTAAAATCAATTTTAAAAAAATAATATCCAAACAAATTACGTTATAACATAATCAATTATGATTAAAATCTACCACTTAATTAATTATTTTTATAATTTATTATATTCAATTGAAATTCAAACGGATCCGAAATTAAACTCTACTGATATTGGCAAAAAAAAACGCACTCTAGCGATGGATTATACGCTTCATGCCTCACCTAGAAAAAAACAATATAAAAAATTATGAAAGAGATTTTCACCATGTATCTATATCCATAAAGCTGTTTCATATCTTCTCTGTCAGCACAGTACAGCAAATTAAATAAACAGAACAACACCAAGCCGTGTTTTATTACACGCCCACTCCCTCCTTACTCTTTCTTCTCTCTCTCAAATTTCTGCAGAACTTAGTACTCATGCCTCAGGGCTTCTCACCCACTCTACCCGAAAAAAAAAAAATTCCTTTTTTTATATATCTGTGATACCTGGTGATCATTTCTCTTTCTGGGTATTTGTTCCTGTGTGTCATGAGTTTTGGCATCTCTCAAGCCAAGCTAGACAACTGCAATTTGGTTGCTGCAACAAAAAAGAAAAAAGAAAGAAGAGAAAGAAAGAAAAGCAACTCCATCTAATTATTAATGTTTCGCTCTTTTTTTTCCCATCTCTCTCTGTTCCGAACAGTTGCTTTTGCTCGTTTACACAGGATGCTTGTGTACAAATGATGCGTTACACCAGTGTGTGACTGTGACATAAAAGACAAATAGATCTCTTCAGAAACGCCAAAGCTAAATGCATCACTGCACAATAAATAGAGGCGTAACCATAACTTCTTTTAGTTTTTCCCCCACTCATATAGTGATTCGGTTGTCGTTATGTTTTGCCAAACCAACCTTTGTTAATACCAGTTTTGGGTTTGAAAGACTGTAGCTTTTTATTCTTCCTTCATGTTTTTATATTTACCAAGTACAAATTGAGTAATTATCTTCCTGAGGCTTTTCTTATTTACTTAGTACAAGAGTACAAACCAAACCATGATGCTAAATAAACTAAACAGCAAAATCTTTTTACAAAGGATCTTACTTCTGAGTAGCACTGGGTATGGCTGATAACTAGCAGGATTGACATCTCAATCTTTTTGATTGATCCATTTAACTGTTCAAATGTGAATCATGATGCTGGTAATAAAAGAGGCTGGCAATTAATTGCATATATAGGAAATAAAAACCCTATTATGCTGATAGGTGAATAGAACTAAAAGTGGAGAGTTATCCCTGTCAAGTAATGCTTATATAAAAACAAACAAGGAAAAAAAAAGGAGGGAAATATACCATACCTCCAGAATATCAGAGACCCTTATGTACTGGTCTGTGAATACAACCAAAACAAGAGAACAATCGCTGTTATATACAATCTAATCTCATGAGGGTATCAGGATAATATGGTATGTTCCAAGAACTAGGTTTAATACGTGAGTAGTGACCAATCGTAGAACAAAACAAATGTTACTGAAAGTGGGCATATTTTTTTGATCTTGTAGTGCACATGAGGGCATGAAAAGGTGCAACAGAGCATGTAGCTGAAGTTGATTTCTTGATTTTACATTCTCTGGGTCAATCCGTCAAACACAGCCAAGTCATTGGATATAATCAAAACTTTAAATATTCAACATCTTTTCTCATTTCCTTCCTTCCTTCTTTCTTGAAGAATCATGACAAGCGAAATGTTGGACCAAAGAGAAACATACGTGAAAAGCTGAATATTTCTGCAAGTTCAAAAACTTGTGGGGTTGTTCACCGGGGATGTGTATATTGGATGCCAGCAAGCAAATTCCCAGCAAGCCATGTGGGGTTCAACGAAATTTGGGGGAAAATGATTAATTTTAACATGCATGAATCTATTCAGCCATCCCATCTATCTAATCCAATCCCATTTTGTCCATCAGTACCAGGAACACAACAAAGAGATAGAAGGTGGTGATGCTAGTTAGCTACGCGGTGTATGAGAGAGAATGAAATTGAGATTGATAGATTTTGCAATGAGAAGTTGACACATGATGCTCGGATTTTGAGAAACACAGCATCTCTCAGGCTTTATATCAAATCATCTCTTCAATCTGCATGCTGAGGTCTTCTCTCCCAACCCCTTCCGCTCTCTTTCTCTATTCCCTTCTCACATTCTTCATTGGCCCATCTCTTCTGCGTTACCCAATTTCCAAAATTCCTCCGTCACTGTTTTTTTTTTTTTTGTCTTCTTTCAAGATTCTAGTCCTCAAGGCGGTTTCTAAACTGTAATGGTGATTCCCTAGAAAAGCAAAAAATTCCCCCCATGATCTTCTCCTTTTGGGGTTGGTTAAGCCTTTTTTTTCAGATTTGCTTGTAATTGCAACAATCCTTTTGGCTTGGAACTCACGGTTTCTCTGTCCTGTGCTGTCCCTCTCGTCCCACCTTGGTAATCCGAACCGGGTCGGCGAAACCGGACCCATTTCCCATTTCAGAGTCGAAACCCATGAACTATAATCATAAAGTTCAATTTTTTTTTTTTCACGGGGGTGAGAAATTGAAAACTGAATATTGGGAAGAAAAAAAAAATGACCTTGATAGCTGAAAGCTGCCAAGACAACACAGAAACTCATTGCAGATGGTGACACACTTGCTCATGATCTGTGTCTAGTTCCACGTGATTGATGGATGGATGGGCATGTGCAGACCCGTGGCGGTTCGGTTCGACCCGGCCGGAACTGAACCGGGAGGGCTGATCTGGTTCTGTACGGAAGTTGACTTTTTTTAGCTAGAAATAAAAAATGAATAAAAAGCATGCTAACTATTTTCCCTTTCAAAAACATAAAAAGCGCTCCTGCCGATAAAAAACGAGGAGAGGGTGGGGAACGGCAAAGAGTTAAAGAGGAGGGCGCGTGGACCGAGGGCGTTGGGGAACGCGCGTGACGACATTCTTAGGTCAGACTCCGCCGCCCTCCGGCTACGGCGCTTCGGTGTTCGAGTCAGTGTCTTGTGGTGTGGTGGCCGTGGTAGCGACAGGTCAGGAATTATAATACCCAATTATTGTGAGAAATCTTAAATACGGCACCATAATAATCTACGTGGGGCCTGATGACGTGGCGGCCATGGTACGCTCGTTTAGCCTTTGAGCCCAGGCTCTGATGGGGCCATCGGCGCCGTTGATTTTAAAAGCTACTATCAGAAGGAACACGAGGTACAAAAACAGCCAAATAAATGCTACTAATAATACTACCTCCGGTTCTATTTATAAGTCATTTCTACCAATCTCATCAATATCAATACAATAAAAGTACAAGGAATAAAAGTAAGTAAAATTTCAAACATGCCCCTATATAACAAATCTAAAAAGTAATGTCCTATTACTTTTTCTCTCTCATGAAGGGTAATTTTGAAAATACTTCTCAAATATTACCTAAAAAGACACACCGTAACTTATAAATGAGATCAAATACACCTTCTAAAATTGGACTTATAAATGAAACCAAATACACACAAACATGCCGTAGCACTAGAAGCCAAATCCTATAAACAAATAAAATACAAGGTGTCCCAAACATACCAGAATCTACGGGTATAATTTCTTTGGGTACTCGTGGGTTTTATTTTTTGGGTGGGATTCTGTGTGAATAATAATGATCATAATTTGAAAATCGTCTCTGATTTTGCGAGGAAAGTGTGTTAATTTTTTGGGGTGAGTGATTGAAGAGGCACTGATCGCTTGCCAAAGAAAAAGTTTATAAGCGAGGAACATTTTGTCTTCATGTTATGACACTATATTTGTAGTGCCACGTATTACAGATAAAAATTCTGTCCCCGTTAATTCCTGTGAAAAAGAAAATTACCTTGCATCCTACCATTGCTAAATTTAGAGGGGGGTAGCCCTCCTAAGATAATTTTATTCATTAACTAAGTTTGAGGTTTCGAGTCTTTGTATATCTGTGCGGTTTTCTAGAGGCACTTTTATTTGAAATATGATTATATATTGAATATAGACACACCTCCAATAATAATTAAAACATCAATTAATCATAGCATGCGAAACTAACTTAACTCTTTTTATTAAATTCAAACCCCATCGATCCAGCCTTTGACTTTTTTCAAAAGATAGATTAATTAGGTTACTTTAACTTGCCTATATTTTTTGTTGCTCACATGTGGCATTAATTTTGTTTGAGATACAATTAATATTAAATACAGATATCTCTTTTAATAAATAATTGAATATTATTTTATCATGCTATATGGAATTAATTATTTTGTTAGACTCAACCTCCTCTCTTAGAAGATTGGTGCTCCCTCCATTTCATATTGACCATACTATTTTAATATTTGTATTTAAGCCTTGAAAGACTCATATTTTGAAATAGAGAGAGCATTGAGTTTAATTTAACTAAGTTTACAAAAATCAATATAATTTACCAATATAGATAAGCCAATTATGATATTTTTTTTGGTCCATATACTGTGGTGAAGCCGCATAAGCTTGAGGGGTGGCACTCACTTTATGAAAAACTGTAAATGAAGTTGTAATTTTCATTCCCTACTCTAGATATTTTGCACCTTCTGAATTAAATGAAAAGTATTTAGATTTAAAAACTTATTAAATATATGATATTTTAATGATTTAGATAAAGATACAAAGAGCATGTTTATAATAAAATATTATATTAATTTGCTCAATATAATTTTTTAAAATAAAAAATGATAATAAAACTATTTATGTTATTATAATCTTAGTCATGGTATAATTAATATTTTTTGAAAAATATTAATTTTTTATTAAATTATTTCGCACCCCTGGCTTTGAGTCTTGACTCTATCACTATCCATACACATTACAGTAATGAGTTAGTCCAAGGTATTTTTTGATACACACATACTCCCCCAACCCCCCTCAATTTGCAAATAAAACAAACTTCTAATTTAACTCTTATTTAAATAAAAAAATTTAATTTTTCATTTTATTTTCTTTCATAGTCGATGAGTTCAAATATATATAATATTAGAAAAGACATAATTGATGACTCATCAAGTATTTTATATTAAAAACTAAATTTTTTTTATAGAAGGTGCTTTATAATTAGGACCAAGGAATACATATATAATATAGTGGCTAAACATTTAATAGCTTTTCATATAAATTCATGGCAAAATATTTGGGAAAAATATTTTCTAGTTGTTTTTACCAAAAGATTCCAAAATACGTAAGAATTTGGCCAAAATCATATACGCGAGAATTTCAGATATATATATATATATATATATATATATATTTCAGAGACAATCTTTTACCCCCTGGTAAATTGTACTGAAACAATGTGATTATGGATTATGTTCAGGTATCAATAAATTAAATTGAACTTCAATGGGCTTTGGGCTGACGCGCTCTTTACTAGAAGGAAAAGCAGTAAAGCCCACTCTATCAAGGGGGAAAAGAAGTAAGCCCACTAGTCCAAGGGCAGCCCAGTCCACAATGTCAGTGACCCAAAAACGAACCGTTTTTATTTCTCCTTCCCCTCGTACACGAACCATGTAAATATTAACTACAGAGTAAATCAATGACACACTGCAGTTGGAACAACTCTTTGATGAGCAGTTTCTTTCCACAATGGGTGATAAACGAAACTTGTAGGACTCAGCCTCCACTTGGAATAAATGAGGATGTGTCGGTGTGGCGTGCTGCGATTGACTGTAGATTTTCTGTGAAGTCTGCTTACAAGTACACCACCCATGAAACTTTTGAAACTCCTGGAAGAATTTGAAAAAATATATGGAAATGGAACATACTAGAGAAACTTAAGATTTTTATGTGGCAAATTACCCATGAGAGATTGTGCACAGATTCACTCAGAGTGGAAAGAGGATTACACTTGTTTCTTCTTGTCCTTTTGAATGTTAGATCGAAGAGAGCATGTTACATATACTCCATGACTGTCAACGTGCGAGAGATGGGTGGTTATTATTGTTAAATCTTAACGATATTTCTAGTTTCTTTGGTGATGATTTACAGGGCTATTTGCGACACAATGTTCGTTCTATAAGGATTACTATTAGCTTTGTTTGTTGGTTACTATGGATATCAAGATGCCGATTTATCTTCCAAGGAGAGATTATGACTGCTGCTGAGTTAATGCATCAATGCAATTATCTCCTTATGGAAGGTGTCAACAACGAACAGCTCCACCATGAAATCTTCCAATATGACCAGAGGTTAGAAACAAAGTGGACTCCACCTACAGGTAATGTGCTTTGGATTGATGTAGATGGATCTGTTAGAGACCACAAAGAAGCTGCTTGTGGTGGAGTAATTAGAGATCGTTTGGGTAATTGGTTTCCATAAAAATCTTGATTCAACCTTGATCACTGAAGTTGAAATTTCTGCTATCAAAACAGGACTTTAAGTGGCAGAGCAATTTGCTCCTGGAGAGGCAGTGATATATACTGCCTTGATTGATGCTTTTAATCTACTGATGAGAGAAAGTAGACCAGATCACCCTCTATGCGAGCTGATCTTCATGACTAGAGAATATCTCTTTACCAAGCTAAATGTGACTTTATGTTACACTTCCAGGGATATCATTAAGTGTGCGGATTTTATGGCTAAACGAGGACATGGTCATGCTTGTGAGTTAATTTTGATAACCTCCATTCCTGGGGGATGTGTTGAGTTTACCTGAGAAGATCAAGAACAATCAAGTCGCATGGATCAATGCCGAGGAGTATTTTCTCCTCATGTATGAGTTTTTCTAGGTGTAATTTCCCTTTTCAAGCTCAGAGACTTGCCATTTGTAATTAAAAAAAAAAAATGAATGACATAATCCTTGAAATTTTACATTCATTTAATTTTATTTATGGGTTCACAAGTTTTGCTCCGGATTAAAAATTATTATTGGTCACCAATTTTCCCAACTTTTGTAAAGTTCTATTAGGCTATATATATATATATACACACATTTCAACAAAAAGACCAAGAAACCAAGGAATAGACGCAGAAGCTTACAATTATATGAATTAGCTTATTCATCAAGGCTATCCCATGAATGTTCAAGCCACGATATTTTATATGCCCCCTTTATACAAGATGGAAGAACAAGTGGCGAACTGTTAAATGATATAATTTACTAATTTGTTGAGATTAATAATGATATTGAACTTATTGATTTTACATCTAAATAATTGCTTAATCCTAATTAAGAGATTAATAGGTCTCGCTTAATGCAAATGTTTTATTAATAATGTGGCTAGATTTCTTCGCTTTTAAGCAGTGAAATAATAATTTTTCTTAGCCATAATCATGTCACGTTCGTATAATTAATATAAATAAAACTCAAAATACATAAGTGATTCTTGCATAAAAATAATGTTTTACAAGTAGTACGGTAACAATAAGTTATTATACACCAGTAATGTGTGTGTGTGTGTGTGTCTCCGCTCATTTAGTCTCTTTTTTGGCA